AAAAAAAAAAAAAAACAAAAAATTATTTTTTCTTTATATTCAATTTAGAGACTGATATAGAATATCATGCAGGTTGTTGAAGTATTTTCCAAGTGCGGGATTATAAAAGATGTAAGCAATAATTTTTTTATCGGTCAAATTAAAATTTAATAATTGGTTGTTCCGAAACGTCATGTGACTTTGCAACAGCATGCACCTAGCACAATTATCTTAGAAGTTAAGTTCCAAGTCATTGAGCATTTCTCTAGTCACATTAGGTTTCTGTCTATCTCTGCATTGTTTCATTTAAAAATATTGAGTTCTGTTTTTCACTTTTCATCTAACTATGGGATAAATTAGATTCCCATCATTGGAGACATGTTACATAGGATTGGGACACAGATGGAATGCTATTAGCTATATGCTAAAAAAGATATGCTAATATTTTCCCGGACTTTTTCTCAACCAGTTTGAGCAAAGTTTCACTCCAAAACATAGTTTTCTAGACTAAACAATGGGAAGTAATTCTAATCTTCATCGTTATAAAAGCATGATTACATCATCTTAGCTGCTAAATTTAGGAAACTGATTAATTCATATCAATTTTGTCAGAGTTTGAGTCTGTAATTAATTGAGAGTCCAAATGATCTTATATGAAGACCAGAGACAGCAAGTTACTTCCTCTTCCTCCACTTCTCTTCCATGTGCTATTGCTTATGAGTAAGCTGCGTTTTTATTTTAGAACATTAAGTAGGTTTTGATCACATAGTTTGTGAAGCTTCAATATATGTGGCCTATTGCAAGAATTGCTTATTCATTCAATTGCTTCTTCCTAGACAATTGGGTATAAACTTTATTTTGGTTAGATCAAAAGGTGTGGCAAGCGTTGCTTCTTCATTTAATTGTTTTGTCTCAATTATGATGTAATTTCCTTTGGCTAGATGAAAAATTCTGAAAAGAGCATGAACGAGACTAAAGTTTGGTATTTAGGCTCGAAGAGCTGTGGAAACTTAGGCAATCTCTTTTTTTGAACATCAGGATCACGTGCATTCATTTATAGTAGAGTATACATTAAACTTCACATGTTATGTATACATTTTTTGAACTAATATTAACCTGTCTGATGAGCCGGAATTATTATCAACCATTTGTCAAAATCAAATTCCTTGACTCTATTAAGAAAGATTAAATTAAATTAAGAAAGATTAAATTTAGTAAAAAAAGTTGTTAGCCAATGAGGTTTAAATGGTTGTGTATGATTGTATCAAGGAAAATATTCTCAAATCTTTTTTATGGAACATATAGAAATGTAGCTCCATTTGTCTTGTCTACTCCAGTAAGGAAGTAGCTTGGAAGTACAAAATGGTAAAAAGAAAAAGAAATTAAGTCTTTATGATCAAGGTGCTATGATTGCTTAGCAGGTGTGTCTATTTTTTATTATTGGATCTGTAATTTATAAAAAAATATAGGTCATTACATGAATATATTTATGGTGTGATGTTGGATTCATTAAAAATATCTTTTAGAAGTCTTAATCTTGGGTTGATTTAACTACTTTTGTTTAAAGATCATAAGGCCTTTGAGAGCATCAAGGGTAAGGTTATACATGTAGGTGCCTACCAAATTCTCTTAGATGACCATTTCTCCTATGGAGGTTAGATTATCTATATGAATATGCAATTATTTTCGTAGTATTTGTTGAGTTCCATGTTCTACTCTTTAAGAGGAAAATATTGTTGTAATTTTCTGAGAAATTGATGAACCTTTTTGCTTTTTATGATTGAAACATTTAGGATCCTGAAACAAAAAAGCCTCGAGTGAAGATTTATGTTAACAAAGAAACTGGAAGGAAAAAGGGGGATGCACTTGTAACATATCTGAAGGTAGTGTTTCTTGCTCGGAATGCTTGAAGTAACATGCATCATTGAAAGGTTTTCACCTTTGATTGTTTTGTCTTCGATGATGTTATTGTGGATTTGAGGTCATTATTGTTTGTTGTTATTATTAATATTATTGTTGTTGTTTTACTGGGCATTAGGAACCTTCGGTGGACCTGGCCATCCAAATATTGGATGGAGCTCCTCTAAGGCCTGGTGGCAAGATCCCCATGTCAGTTACAAAAGCTAAGTTTGAGCAGAAAGGTAATGCGTGGACTGCTTTGTTCATTTTCTACATTTGTTTCTGGATATTAATTCCATTGCCAATTTTCAATTCCTTACACAAATTGAATATTTCGCTGCTTAACTTCTCTTTTGGCGATAATTAACTTCCAGGGGAGAAATTTGTATCCAAGCAAGTGGACAAGAATAAGAAGAAGAAACTTCAGAAAGTTGAAAGGAAGATGCTTGGCTGGGGTGGGTCCTTTTCTTACCAAAATATTAATTTGTCATTATGTAGGGAGTCAAACTTTATCCTCATTATGAAAAAATAGGTATATTAATTTGAGTTTTAAGAGTTAATTCTGTTTTTTGTTTCACTAATGCAATTTTCTAAAAGGCGAAGTTAAACATTATCATTTTGTTGTGACACTCCTGCTAATGATGACTATGTTCTTGTATCATCATGGTTCTTCATGCTCCTATGGTATTCTCAGTTTTAATTTATATAACAGATTCTGAGATTTTTGTTGGCGTTGCCTTTTTTTGACTTACAGAGCAATTAATACGCCGTTCCACAAATTTCTGAAGTTTCATTCTCTTCTTGTGATGAAATAGGTGGTCATGATGACTCGAAGTTGTTGGTTCCAGCTACTGTTATTCTTCGTTACATGTTCACCCCTGCAGAATTAAGGGTAACGTGTCTTTTTAAGTGTCTGCATGTGCCCATGCTGTTCTAAGTCTAAGCCATGATTCATGATTCATAATTTGGCTGATTCAAAATAATCCTTATTGTTAATTTTTTTCTACATATTCTTGAGATTTGATCATTTCAATGTTATTTGCAACTTTATGCAGCTTCTCATTTTAGTGTCATTATAGTGTTGAAGAAAACTTTTCCATTGTTAGCTGAAGTAACTAATAGTAGCTTGTGATGGCAATTGAAGTTCTTTTATTGTCAACAGGCTGATGAAAATTTGTACTCTGAATTAGAGGAAGACGTCCGTGACGAATGTGGAAAGCTTGGGCCTGTGGATTATCTCAAGGTATTGCAAATTTCTTGTTGATGTCAAATCAATGATACAAAAGTCCAAATTAATTATATACTTGTAGGATGAGGATTCTCTTGTATAATGCCCAACTTTGGTTCATGTTTTGGCTTGGCCTTTTGCAGGTTTGTGAGAACCACCCACAGGGTGTTGTCTTGGTCAAATTTAAAGACAGAAAGGATGCACTTAAATGCATAGAGCTGATGAATGGACGATGGTAATGCCTATATTCTTGTTATTTTGCAAGGATTTTCATTGCTCGACTTTTGGAATTATTATTCATGATAATTGACAACATATGAATTAAATGTCAACATAGTAGTAGCTTAGAGCTATGACGGCATTGATATTCCAAAGAATGTGGATTCTTCTATTAGCCAAATTAATAACATGAGATTTAATTGCAGAATGCCTGTGAATTTAACAGCCATGCCTACATATCGTAGGACTTGTCACCATCTAGGAAGCATTCCTTTAAACGCGAAGAGTAGCTAAGGATGTCAACATGTGACCCACCCTGTGGGTGTGTATTTATTGGGAAGCTGTAGAATTCCTATTGTCATGTTTGTTTGAGCCACACCAAATTTTGGAAGGAAAGGATAAAAAATGCTTAGAGGTGCCATGAATAAACATTACACGTGTATAGATAAATTTTGATCGTTCGAGAATAGTTTTATAAGCATCCCCACTCAACAAATACACAAACAGGAATATAATGGGAAAGTACACCCTGCATATAGGATTTATTTACACTTTACATATTGTTTCTTGAAAGTTTATATTTCACTACTTTTTTTTTGAGTTATAACAAAAATGCCTACTAACAAAAAAATATTCTAATTGAAAATAATAGGTCACGCCATATTTTATGATTCTTCAAAATTTTGTTATTAGAAAGCTGGGCCTTTAAATTATAAGGAGATTATAATGAAAGGCAAATAAGCTCTTTATATCATTTTAGAACTTTTGGAAAATTTATAGAAGGAAGTTTCTGCTATGGTGGTCCTTCTCTTTTGTGCTAGGAAGTTTCATAGAAGAGAAAACAAATATAGACGTGTTAATAATAAAAAATATGACTGTGCAAGAAAAGAAAAGGAGTATGGAGTATGAATTAGGTTAATAATGTAGTCAGATGCAACATAAACTATGGAGAAGATAAATGGAAGAGATAAATAATTTTTTGGTTGAAAAAGAAATAGTAATTAAAATTTTGAAAAACAAAACGGTATGTGAAGTGTTACATAATGTAAATTAGAGGGTGTGATTTGTCCTCTCAATTAGGGGTATTTCGGTATGCTTATCTATTTATCGTGTGGCATAGTAACAACTTTCTTTGCTCAAGGGCCTATTTTTGTTTCCATTAAACTTGAATATACAAATACAGTACGGAAAGTGTAAATACACCTGATATATATGACGTATTTTGTAAATGTCCCTAGCCTAAATAACGAGCTTCATATCATGCAACTTCATATGTATTCTAGTATCTAGAATTGGAAACGAAATGTTGGGATGATATGGAATTCTTTGCCTTAATTGGTTGCAAATTGTTCAGGATTTGAGTAGGTCCTGGATTTTTTTTCATCTAGAACAAGTTTGTTAAACTTCAGCACTCCTGGACACCCCTCCTATCTCCATTTTCACCCTTCAACCAAACATGTTTGGTAGGGGGATTGATCTTACTGAACAATATCAAGGAATAAAAGAAGTTAAAATTTAGTTCATGTCCTATGGTGCCTGCCTAACATGCACCTATGGTTTTATTGCCATGCACCATTCAGGTATATATTGCACGACCAGACAAATGTTTAGAATCTTTTACAGGAGTTGGGTCGAAGAATCCTTTTTTGGTACAAACCTTTGATAATTCTTCTTTTCTTTCAGGTTTGGTGGAAGGCAGATACATGCAAGTGAGGATGATGGATTGATAAACCATACTTTGGTACGGGATTTGGATGAAGAGACTGATAGATTAGAGATTTTTGGAGCTGAACTCGAAGCTGATTGAAGTACTCTCAACTGATTAATGTAGAAACTGCAGAATTCTACTCTTCTAAAAAGGCCTAAATCTGGAACTTGTACATGGTGTCGATCTGGTATATTATGTGATAAATGCCAATGTCGAATTTAGTCTGTAGTGTTGCGTGTAGATTATGAGGTTACAGATTCATCGACACTCTCAACTGATTAATGTAGAAACTGCAGAATTCTACTCTTCTAAAAAGGCCTAAATCTGGAACTTGTACATGGTGTCGATCTGGTATATTATGTGATAAATGCCAATGTCGAATTTAGTCTGTAGTGTTGCGTGTAGATTATAAGGTTACAGATTCATCGACCTTTCTGAAACACAGATGGCCTGCAATTCAATTTATTGTGAACTATTCCGAGCTTTGAGATATCCGCTTTGACTAAAATTCCTGCAGAAACTTAATGCGTGAATGCTGCTTTCTTGCTCTGTACTGTCTATACACATTTTAACTATTTCTTCGTCCATTCTATGTTTGAACACTTGAATATCTTTCATACTTGCTCGACGTATACGGATTCATCGAGCAATTCAAAGCTTTACGGATTCATCGAGCAATTCAAAGCTTTACACGAAAAGTATGGACATATAGACCATCTAGTGTTTCGAAGCCTCCCATCAAAAAATCGTTTCCAATGTAAATTATAACAAAATAGACGAGTATTTGCAAACCCCTTAACGTAAACTAGTACAATGACATTGTAGTTAAAATAAGCATAGAAAGGAACATAATTTGGCTCGATTCAGTACTCCCGTATCTGATGGAAATTTTCCAATGCTTCCAAATTCCTTTCCATATATTGCGAAACCACTCAATCATTGATGTCCACGTTACAATATATTTTGCAAGCATTTCACTGAAACAAATTCTAGCAGCATAAATGCTTCTACGTATTAAGAATAGAAGTCCCCAGTGATCTGTTTCCTTCATTAGAAGTAAAAAATGAGTTTCTTACGAGGTATCCATGGATGCTTTTACCCAACTGTAGATCACCCCATTGTGTATATAAAACAGCAAGGCTTCTAAGGTTTACAGCCACAGGTTGAACACCTGCAGCTAGCATTTGATGAAACAAATAAGTCGCCTCTTTAAAGTGTCCATTTTCGCTGAACCCCCAGCATTAGAGCACACCAAGTGATACAGTTTCCGCAAGGAACTTCTATGGATAACTGAGTTGATGCCTCCAAATTGGAGCACTTCGCACAAATATACAACAAACTCGTCCTCGAAATATCATCTCAAGGTTCATTCTGTATTGAAAGACAATGTACTTGCTTGACTGAGGTTTCCAACCTCTGGCAACCCCGAAACAAGCAAAGTTAACACCTCAATGCTTCGTTTCAAAGCCTTCCCTTTTGAAGAATATGAGGATATCATTATATTCCAGAAACAACATCTGGTTTATCGTTTTCTTCAAAAAGAGTTAGTACTTTATCAGCAGCACCAACATCAGCATACACTTTCAAGATTGAATTTATCATACTGAATGATCAATTGAGAAAGCACTTTTGATCACATAACCAGGAATCTGTCTCCCTTCAAGAACATTNCTGATTGAAGTGCTCTCAACTGATTAATGTAGAAACTGCAGAATTCTACTCTTCTAAAAAGGCCTAAATCTGGAACTTGTACATGGTGTCGATCTGGTATATTATGTGATAAATGCCAATGTCGAATTTAGTCTGTAGTGTTGCGTGTAGATTATGAGGTTACAGATTCATCGACCTTTCTGAAACACAGATGGCCTGCAATTCAATTTATTGTGAACTATTCCGAGCTTTGAGATATCCGCTTTGACTAAAATTCCTGCAGAAACTTAATGCGTGAACTCTACTTTCTTGCTTTGTACCGTCTATACACATTTTAACTATTTCTTCGTCCATTCTATGTTTGAACACTTGAATATCTTTCATACTTGCTCGACATATACGGATTCATTGAGCAATTCAAAGCCTTACACGAAAAGTATGGACATATAGACCTTCTAGTGTTTCGAAGCCTCCCACCAAAAAATCGTTTCCAATATAAATTATAACAAAATAGACGAGTATTTGCAAACCCCTTAACGTAAACTAGTACAATGACATTGTAGATAAAATAAGCATAGAAAGGAACAGAATTTGGCTCGATTCAGTACTCCCCCATCTGATGGAAAATTTCCAATGCTTCCAAATTCTTTTCCATGTATTGCGAAACCACTCAATCATTGATGTCCGTGTTACAATATATTTTGCAAGCATTTCACTGAAACAAATTCTAGCAGCATAAATGTTTCTACGTATTAAGAATAGAAGTCCCCAGTGATCTGTTTCCTTCATTAGAAGTAAAAAATGAGTTTCTTACGAGGTATCCATGGATGCTTTTACCCAACTGTAGATCACCCCATTGTGTATATAAAACAGCAAGGCTTCTAAGGTTTACAGCCACAGGTTGAACACCTGCAGCTAGCATTTGATGAAACAAATAAGTCGCCTCTTTAAAGTGTCCATTTTCGCTGAACCCCCAGCATTAGAGCACACCAAGTGATACAGTTTCCGCAAGGAACTTCTATGGATAACTGAGTTGATGCCTCCAAATTGGAGCACTTCGCACAAATATACAACAAACTCGTCCTCGAAATATCATCTCAAGGTTCATTCTGTATTGAAAGACAATGTACTTGCTTGACTGAGGTTTCCAACCTCTGGCAACCCCGAAACAAGCAAAGTTAACACCTCAATGCTTCGTTTCAAAGCCTTCCCTTTTGAAGAATACGAGGATATCATTATATTCCAGAAACAACATCTGGTTTATCGTTTTCTTCAAAAAGAGTTAGTACTTTATCAGCAGCACCAACATCAGCATACACTTTCAAGATTGAATTTATCATACTGAATGATCAATTGAGAAAGCACTTTTGATTACATAACCAGGAATCTGTCTCCCTTCAAGAACATTTAAGCATATTCAGCCTCGCCGCTTGCCACATTTCACTAAACAATCGACAAGCGCCACCAACATACCCGTATATCATTGATGTCCAAGACACCAAATCCCTGTGCGGCATTTTACCAAACAACTGCAGTGAATTTCGAAAACACCTCTGTTCAAAAATAATTATCTAGATTCAAAACGCATTTGAACAGCCACAAGGTGAAACCATTTATGCAAATCTTTTGCCACATTCAAGAAACATAAACATTCCATTCAATATTGAAAACATATAACTACAATGTGAAACACCCTTTTCTTTCATAATTTATATGTGCTCTGATGCTGGAATTCCAAACAAAAGCATTGGGTTCATACCAAAACTTAGCACAGAAACAGAACTATCAGCAACATGCAGTTCAATAAATAAAGATAACAACTTTGAAAGAATTGTAAGGGGTAATTCATGCCCATTGGATAATATAATGGAAGCATGGATTTGCTTCGGTGTTTTAAGGTTCTTGCAAGAATTTAGATTGTTTAATAAAGAAGAACACAAAGCGATAGTCGAGCAAGCCATAGCAAAACAGTGAAGAAATTTTCAAGATTTAGGAAGATAAGTCGAAAATCGAAAACTCGAACTGATGTAACATTAAACTTATTTGTCCACTGATTTCTTGAAGAAACGCAGAAAGATATTGGTAGAAGTAAATATAAAACAATGCCTTAAAAAGGTAAGATATGCTCAAATATCAAAACGATCAAATCCCACATCGAACGATTAGCAAAAATTAAACCGCTTTAAATAGCAGAACATGATCGGACATGATTACGACCTTACTTGAACAGGATCTGTTCTATAGGTTGTACCTCTGTATCCTTGAGTTCTAAGGAGACAGGAAACTAAGTCTGATGGATGACATATACCCGCCTGATCAGAGCGTGATTGACAGCTTTCTGGCTCCTGTTAAGAGACGTTAGGGCAATAGAGGATCGTTCTCAGCTGAGTTCACTCGGCTGGGATGGTCAGGCGGCCGTCTGACAGACTCGTCTAACCTTTTTTGCACGAGGTGATTTCTGCACACACGGGGAATTCGCGCATACATTTGCACGATTCAAACACATTGTTTAAATCGTAATTTGAATAGACATTGTCGTCTTACTCCACTTCTATGTTCGTTTCCGGCATTCCTTGCACCGCCGCTGTGTATTTATGAAATTGTTTTAAATTTCTTGTGAATTCAGAAAGTTAGTCTGAGAGAGTTTAAAATGACAAGGTGTCAACTTGAGACTTTAGGACTGATTTAAGTGAAGTGAGATAAAGCCATTTTGTGATATAGAATAAAAAAAAAAAAATTTACTCCATTCATCCCACAAAAATAAATTTACTCTCATTTTCATACAAATTAAGAATTAATATAGTTGAAAATATAAATTTTACTTATATTTTTCTAATATACCCATAAATTAGATAGTAGTTTAAATATGAGCAATTCATATTTTATTGATAAGAAGACACATTAAGCCCCGTTTGGTGCACATTTTTTATAAAAGAATGCATTTTTATTTTGATGTGATGGGGAATATGTGATTGAAAAATAAGGAAAAGTTATTGATATGATAGAAAATATTATTTTTTTAAAGAATGTGTGGTTAAAAATGAGTAGAAGAATAATAATGAAAAAAATAATGTGACTCAAAAATAGCCTAAATAGAGAAATATTAGAAAATTAAGAAATCAACAATACTTTAGACGTGGGAGTGGCATATAATTTGTGACAAATGAAGGAAAAAAAAAAAAGTCGGACTATATAGGACGGATGAAGTATTTTTATTTAAAAGTAAGTTAAAAATAAAAAGTTGTGTTTGAGTCACATTATTTTGGAAGAATGTATTTTGAAATATTAGATTGATGGAAAATGTGTGGTTGAAAAAAAAGGAAAATTATTGATGTGATGGAAAATAGTATTATTTTATTGAAGAATGTGCGGTGGAAAATGAGAATGAGAATTTTAATGTAAATCTTAATTTTTTTTTGAGCCAAACATGAAACTGGCGTAAAACGCGATTTTACCAAATTTAAGTGGCCGGAATACGTTTAGCAATTTTAGTTCAAAAAATGCGAGACAGAACCTCGAACCCTAAACCCTTTCTTCACTCCGCCTTCCTCCACCACCGGCCACCGTAAAAATGAGCAAATCAACCGTATGGTCCCGCCTTCTGCGCCATCCGCTGCGCCGCCTCTTTGAACCACCAAAATGCCCCTCACCTCCATTTCCACTTCCCATTCCCATTCCCATTCTATCCACCCCTACTCCTTTCACCTCCCAAATCACCCGAAAATACAGCGCCAATTTCGCCAACCTGTCGTTGAATGCACGTGTCGCCGCTGCGGACCGGGCGCTGCAGGAGCTCTCGGTCGAGATGGAGCGCGAAAGGAAACGAGAGAAAGAGGAGAGGCAGAAGGCGGGGCTGGATACTGCGGACATTGATGCCAATTACGATGATGATTACATGGGCGTGGATTCGATAATTGATAAATTGGAAAAACAGAAGCTGAAAGGGGAGAGCTCGGAGCTGAACCGGTACGAGGAGGCTACTGACTCGGATTCGGATGATGATGACAGGTTTTCGGCTGATAAGATGAATAAGCAGGCTGATCAGTTCGAAAAGAAGTTCAAGAGGCACGAGGAGTTCCTTGACAAGTTCACGAAGGCTGGTAATAACTCTATCCACCACATTACATGCATTGGTATGTTTTGTGTAATTTGTGTACTTACGGGTCCATTTTATACATGGATGTTTTGTGTTAGTATTTGTCCCATTTTGATTTTCGATGTCCATTTCCAACCTTCATTTCTATTGAAATTACCTCTGATAAAGGAAATGGTGGTACTGGGTCGGATGCTGAAGCACACAGTACTTGTTTGATTTTTGTAAGTTATGATTCACCATTATACATTACAAGAAATGATTAGGATTGTAAGTTGGTTTCACGTGCAGATCTTTTATGCTTGGTCGTTTGAATGCCTATAGTTATGTAGAGTAATTGTGTTTGTAGATGTAGAATGTTTTGCACAAGAAGTTGCTCAGAGTATGAATCTCTCAGTTTACGAATATTTTCTTGAAAGCATAAATAGAATATGAAATCTCACGAAAAAAAATTGAGAAAAACGTACTTGTGTGGTTTAAGGGATTTTTGTGTTCTCAGGCAATATGGTGGCAATTGAATAAATTTTCTGTTCTTTTGTAATAATGAATGTGATTGCAGGACTCTTGTTCTATGCAAGAGAGAGAACTTGCTTGTGTGGTTTAAGGGATTTTTGTGTTCTCAGGCAATATGGTGACAAGTGAATAAATTTTCTGTTCTTTTGTAATAATGAATGTAATTGCACGGCTCTTGTTCTATGCAATAAGATTTTCAGTACAAAATACTAGATAATGTGAAGCTGGGCTTTATTTTTTGAACGTTATACTAAAACATGGAATAACAAGGAGTACAATATGAATTATTAGAGGGTGATGGGTCATTGTTTTGCTATTTGAACATTTTGTTCACCTCTTTGTTTTGCTATTATAGACATTTAACTTCATAGATTTGAGCAGAGACTCTGGATGATGCATTCAAGTGGATGAATAAAATTGATAAGTTCGAGGACAAGCATTTCCATCTGAGGATGGAGTACCGTGTTATTGGTGAGTTGATGAAGAGGTTAAAAGTAGCTGAAGGGAAGGAGAAATTTCTTCTTCAGGTGAAGTTGAATAGGGCCATGAGGATGGTAGAATGGAAGGAAGCATATGATCCAAATGACCCCACCAATTATGGAGTCATTCAGAATGATCAGTTAGGATCTTCTGTTGATCTTCTGCAGCATGCCGGGTTCGAAAGGGAGCAGCGGTTGATACAAGGTGGAGAGGAAGATGATGACTTAGAGTTTGATGACATGAAAGAGAAGGATACTATAATAATGGAAAAGCTTAATGCATTAGACAAGACACTTGAGCAGAAGCTTTTGGCATTGGATCACACCTTTGGGAAGAAGGGAAAGCTTCTGGAGGAAGAAATTAGAGATCTTGCCGAGGAAAGGAACTCATTGACTGAGAAAAAGAGAACGCCTCTGTACAGGAAAGTATGTGGATACCTATTCTGCATTTCCTTAATATACTAATGATTGCCTTGAGATCTAAGCAATTTTTTACTAAGTAGATGATTATTTTCTTATAATTTTCTCTTGAAAATTTGATCAGAATGTGGCTTTTAATACCTGCAACCTCCATTGTTGTTCGATAAAATCATGTTTGAGAAGTATACTTCTTTCATGTCACATAAAGATAATTGTTGTCATACAAGGCTGCTAACCTCTGTGAAACTTATGCCTATATAATCTCCCTGTACAAGTGTTTGTGCTACCCCTGCATAATAGCCTACCATATAACGGATATTTATCCATGGTTGATGATCTTTAATTTAATATCTGATTATTGAGGGCACATTCTCCTATCATGTTAGCATTACATTGTGGGACTCTTTTATCTTCCATCAAATCATCTCAGTCAATATTGGCTATGCTTTTGGTCTTCTCATGAATCAACTTTTTTATTCGTTTCAGTAAGCATAGTCATCTACACTTTTTTTACTTGCTTTACTGGCTGTCAAATTAATATTTGACTCAATCTGGGCTCAATGATTTCAGGGATTTGATGTTAAACTCATTGATGTCAATAGAACCTGTAAAGTTACAAAGGTAATATAATTTACATGTTGAAATCTCTCTCTCTCTCTCTTTAGTGAACGTGATAATTTGCTATATATGAATGATATAGGGAGGTCAAGTTGTCAAGTACACTGCAATGCTAGCTTGTGGTAACTATCACGGTGTTGTTGGTTTTGCAAAAGCAAAAGGTCCGTCCATTCCTATCGCTCTTCAAAAGGTATCATGCTGGTATTTTCCTTCGTCCCTGACTTTCAGAAATTTATCTGTTTGAGAATGAAATTGGTTGATGTCATGGTTAACTAGTGAAAAAAGTTCCAGTTGGATAAATCTGCTGCTAGATGAATGAGTAAAACTTGAGTAGTTGACACGTATGTGAAAATATCCAATTTACTAAATTTGTTTCAATTATGTATCATAGAATCTTTCGATTTTGTGAAGACTATTTGAATGTTAAGAATGACACTAAGTTATCTGGTTGCTCGTGGTAACTAGTTTTCGAATATATGATTCCTTGGGATCTTTTGCTCATATGATTGTGTTTTACTGATTTATTTTCTGACAGGCCTATGAGAAATGTTTTCAGAATCTCCATTATGTAGAACGGCACGAGGAGCATACAATTGCACATGCAGTCCAGACTTCATATAAAAAGACCAAGGTTCTAACTAAATTTCTAGTTCCTTGAGCTTGTTAAAATTAAAGCTAAAAGAAGATTTTCATTTCCTGTCATTACCCAAAATTTGTATGGACTTTTAGGTGTATCTTTGGCCTGCATCCACTCAAACAGGGATGAAAGCAGGCAGAACTGTCCAAACAATTCTCAATTTAGCTGGTTTCAAAAATGTGAAATCAAAGGTAAAACAACTCTAATGTCCAATGACCTGCAAAATCGATTTCTATTTTCAAGCTCTCTTAACGTGAATACTCTTATAGGTCATCGGTTCAAGGAATCCTCATAACACTGTCAAGGCTATTTTTAAGGCTCTAAATGCGGTATGTAGAATAATCTATTCATTCTAAAGGCATTTTAATTTTTCCATTTGATTCAACTCTCATGATGATTGCATTTTGTTTTACTTTACAGATCGAAACTCCCAAAGATGTTCAAGAGAAGTTTGGACGAACTGTTGTTGAGTCATATTTACTATGAAGGTGTGTTTACTTTCTGTTTTTTTTTCCTTCCACAAGGATGGAGGGGGCATCTTCGAACATATTATTTCCCTGGGATTGTAATTCAATTGGTTAGAACATGGCATTGTCAAGGCGGAAGCTGTGGGTTTGAGCTCCATTAGTCCCGATGGATCCAATAAATACATAGATTAATTTCTCTCTTTCTATGAAAGGATGTCGGGGGGCAGAACTAAGCCCCTATTTGATGCCATTATAAAGAGAAATTGGGGGAAAATGTTGTTTTGAATAGTGATTTTTTGGAGAATGTGGTTAAAAAGTAATGAAAAGCTTTGTGTTTACGTGCAGAATATGTTATTGTGTGAATGTATAGTTGAAAATGAATATGAGAAATAAAGTGTTTTAATTTAAAGAGAGTCAAACAGGGGCTAAAATTTCCAGAGAAGTGCTACATGTACATAAATCTATACATAATGGTGTCCATAATTACACGTGGCACTGGATCCAACCATTAATTCAAATCTTACACTTTCACATCAGCAACAAGATTTTGTCTACATCACATTATGGACACTATTATGTACATATATTATGTACATGTAGACTTTTCCAAATTTCCAAAGCAAAGGGACTTTTTTATCTTTCCTATTTTTCCATTTTTTTAAGGTCCCATCACAGAAATAACAAACCTTAATATTGAATGTGAAAGAAGGCTAGTCTAGTATGTAAAATAAGAAAGTATATTTATATATTTATTTTTAAGTGTTGTACTTTCCTCAGCTCCTGTATGATATGTTTTTACTATAAATATTCCTCAATATCCTGTTTGATTGCTAATGTTTTCAATTTTTAACTAGGGAACCATTAGTTTGCCATGATTTTTGAATTTCCTTAGAGATCTACCCATCAATTTACGCTCTTGTAATTTTCTTTCGCAGGTTTAATAAGGGCCATATGGCATATTCTTATCGTCTCCCTCGTCGAGATGCTATTCTCTGTAAAAGCCAATGGTATATGATGTAGAGTTCTGCTTTTGCACAGAAGCAACTGTAAATGTGACAGCAATGGAAGCAAAGATGCTACGAAAAGCACGCATTTCAGTGAAAAAACTGAAAACCGGGAAGCCAGCTTGGATACAAGAAAGACGCTTCAAATAATCTTTATTCTCAAATGCCCAAATACTGGAGCTAATATTTCGGTTTGGGTTTGTTTCAGTTGTTACTGATGCCTTCTTGTACCAATTTTTCCATCTTCGAGAATTCATTTGTGTAGCTTCGGTGGAAATCGAGAAAAATTAATAATAATTAAAAAATTTGAGCATCAGATTTTCATCGAGTTCAGGAATGCACTAGATCACCTTTAATTTTGCCACTTTTAATTCATTTGTATGTGTTTTAATCAGTTAGGCAGGTGCACTTCAACTGCAGTGAGATTGATTTTCCAGTATTCTAGAAAATTTGGTGTGAGAATCAGAACGCTCGAATTTAGCACAATTGCAGAATGAAACTAAATCGACCGAAGTTATATACACAAATAAGATGATGCATTATACAACAAACTTGTACCAACAAAACGATCCCCTGACTAAACATATACACCAAAACTACATCTATCGACTACAAACTATGTAAGTACTACTTGAAAAAGAAGTCATACGTGTCCAGAACAGTCCGAACCCAAGCTCGACTGTTTCCATCCTAGAAGCACATTCTGGTCTTGGCACATTCTTAAATTTCCCTATATCAGATGTAAGATTTAAAAGTCTGATTTCACAAGCTTCATTCGAGGTTTTATGTCAACGTTGTCAAAGGGATTCCTCTGTTCTACATGGATATAGTCTCTTGTCTTGAGAACCTGCAATTTTTTCATGCAAAAATAAAAAAAGTCACAAGTCCACTTTTTAGCTTATCCAAACATGCTCCTAGTCACAATCTTAGCAGGTGATTTACTAATTGGTAATTAAGAGAGCATTGGCATACCAATGCTTCAAAAAACATCCTTGAAGCTTCCTTGCGCGTTTTACCAATTAACAAGCTGTCCATGGAAAGAGACTTTCTTCCAGAATCTGCCTCCTTAACAAATAAGGTTTGAAGATACTTGGAAACAGCCCTAAAAAGATAAAATAACATCAGGAATTAATAAACTTAGCCGAGTAAAAGGAAATCAAGCCAAATATATGTAAACAGCAACAGGATAGCAGAAGAAGCCTTCTTAAACAGTTTAAGGCGAGCAGCAAATGCATACCATCACAGAGACAATAGTAAACAAAGCAATTTGCTAGGAAGGAGAAAATCAACACACTTTCGAAAGAAAAATTAACTAGCAAAACATATACCTCGTACGCGTGGACCATCCACTGTTCACAATAAACTGGGTCTCTTCAGGATCAGGCATATAGTCATCAGCCATTTCAGTTTCTTCCTCATCAACATTTAGAAACTCTACAAATCCAAAGAGCATAATGAATCAAGTCTAGACAGTCTGCACAATCACATAGTAAATAAAACAAATTCGAAAAGGTAACGCTAAATTGATGACCCAAAAGCTTCCCAAAACAACTCGAGAGATATTCACAATACCAATTAAACCCATAAATGATTCACGAACCCCAACTGAAAAGGAGAAGCCTCAGAAACATGTGCAGAAACTCCTAAATTTAAATCAATGAAGCACCTTCTATTTAACCAATCTTCCCTATTTATATCAGGTTAAATTCTCAGAAGCTTTTTATCTTATGTCTAGAGGGGTGGCAAGAGTTCAAGATTCAAACGAAAGATAGAAGCAAACCTGTATCATTTCCAGTGGCTGAATATAAGTCCTGCATGAAAGAGCAAGCAATGTTCTTAATGAAACTTCCCATAGTTGAAAAGAGAGCAAGAGACTTGAGAAACAAAAGAAAAAGATAACTTTGAACTTCAACTGAACTGTAGAAGTGTTAAAGATGTCTGCACCAGAAAATTACCATCAGCGTAGAGGGCCTCTCGATTTCAACACAGCAAGATGCATGATAACATATTCCGAATAGGTGAAGTAAAGATCAACTCCCATCATTGTGTGGGTAAATAAATTCATAAATTATCTGTCTTTAGGATTTGAAGTTATTATACTCATTGCGATTTCTACTGTACATTGTAATTGATGAAAATATTTGAATAAATTATCATAATTTCACCCAAAGAAGGTGCAGTTCCTAGAATTTTGATTATTTTGTATTCAAAATATTAATTTTAAGGCATGAAATCAATTTAGTTTGCTAAAGTTCTATCTCAAATATGAGAGATAATTGACTCGTGAATATGGACTACCAACTGCCTCTACGACACAGCTCTTGTTTGACACCCTTTAATTTATTTTAATTTTTGCTACATGATCATTTTCAACCACACATTCACACAATAAAATATTCAACACATAAATTCAAAAATTTTCCCTACTTTCTAACCACACATTCTATTAAAAATACTATTCAAAACTCATATTTTTTTTTTGGTTTGATGAATCAAACCCAGGCATAATATAATTTAATCAATTTCTATGCAGTTGTCTACAAACTATTTTCCCATGTGAAGTCCTAGAATTTGCCTAGTGAAGACCCTTAGACATGTAAATGCTATTCCACCAGTGACCAGACAAGGAAAAACTAGGCATTGGTGAAATGGAAGTATATGCATCGCCAGAATGAAAGATGTATAGAAACAAGAAAAACTTACATTACGATCATACAAGTCAAAACTGGAGATTTCTGCATCTAGCGTATTTGGTTGATAAGCTTCATGCATATTTGGTTTTTGATCATCACCTATGAAACCATCTTCAACAAGCAAACTGCCCTGTGGTTGATATGAAGGGTCTACAATTTGGTCGCCAGAAATACCATTATATATTTCACTCTGAACATTATACTCCAAATCTCCTTGATCGGCATATGGTAGCAGTTCAACTTCTGCACCATTTCGGGAGACCTCTAACAGATCATTGTTCCTTCCAAATAGTTCACTTTCATACTCTGCAATAATACTATCATCCTTCTCTGTCACTTCATCTATACCAATTATTTTTCCATCCCTAGAATCCATCACTGAAGTGTCCGACTCAACAGAAGGCGCCCCTATCTTCTGATCAGGTAAAATGTCCAATGTGGTTCCATTCAGTGAAGAATTTGTCTCGTCAGTCTCATTTAAAGGAGCGATCTGAACTATACCGCCTGAAACATCAACTACATCACATGAAGAAGGGTTTACGGCATCAGCACTTCTACCACTTATTTCTACTTCAGCTTCATTCTGCAAAAGTTTTTGTTGTAAAACATTAGGCTCCAAACTGTCACTTTCAAGCTTCATCTGCTCTTCATTGATATTAACTTCTATATACGTGTCGTTGACATCCTCCAGCTTATTCTGGCTCAGCTGAGAGTTCTCAACCGGTTCAGCTTCCTCATTATCTCTGATTACCAAAAGCTCACTGCACGGGCCCAGTCCACTTTCTTCTGGGACATTCAGCTCACTGGACCCCTTATCTTTTTCTATGTTCATGCCGATACCATTTTCAGGAACCAATTCTGATTCAGCTGCAGTTTGAAGAGAAGTAACACTTTCTTCATGTTGAGAAGCTAACTTGGGTTCAGCAGCACATCCAAGTAAAACATCATTATCGTCATTTTGGGAAGTTAACCTTGGTTCAGACGCAGTTTCAAGAGAGACATTTATATCATTTTGGCAGACTCTTATTCCGCTCAGATCATATACTTGACAGTGCCAAGAAGCCAAATCAATTGACATGCCTAGAAAAAGGAAATAAACCAATGAAGGCCATTGCCTGGAATAATGTCATGTTCCAATAAAAGGTACAGCTATATCAAGTGAGAAATAACAGTCAGATTTTTAAATTTACAAGGGAAGTCATGAGCACCGGCCAGCATATTGGCTTGAAACTCACCAGTAAATATTGGTTCAAGAAAAATTTCTTCCTCCAACTGTTGTTTCCGAATCATTGAAATTTCAGGACTTGTGCAAGGAGCTTTCTTTCGTACACGACGTATGTCTTCAGTTTTTGTCAATTGTTGGCGTATCAAACTTTCAAGGAACAAACAAAAAAGTCAGCAATTTATAAGAATGACATGGACGGTAGCGTACAAGATCACCACTCTAAAACACTGGATATTCATTAATCATAACTAGGAGGTAAATTGACCAGGTCAATATGCATTTGACAGCTACTTGTGTGAAGATAAAAATAGATAGGCAAATCAGCATAGATATTGGTGTGGGCCAATCATACAAAACATGTAAAAAAAGGGAACTCTAAACTAGTCTATAGGAGCATAGAGAAAAATAATAGAATTGCTAATAGTATAAGGTGACCAATTTCTCTTATTGGGAAATAAGCAAGATGTATCCAGAGATAGTTAGCAATAGTTGTTTTCTATATCAATAGAGTTGAAAATTGATGACAAAAGGAGAAACATACTCGCCGTGCAAAACCATTGAATTATCCATAAGAATTTTTCTTTTGGGTGCAACCGTCCGTGGAGTAAAGTGAGCGCGTTTCAAAGATTTTAGCTCAGGAAGAGGAGGCGTCGGCTTTATTTTCAGAACTGAAGATTTTCCAACTGAGACAAGCAGAATTCAAACAAATCACAAAGCTCCAATACAGAATTAAGCAGAAGATAATATTCAACTTTCAGCTTCTGCATCAACTAAAAGAATGAAAGGGCATATACCTAAAATGGATGACAGCAAATCATCATCATCAGGAACAGATTCGGCAGTTCTTTTCACACGAACTATCCTCGACGATTCAACTGTTTCTGCCAGTGTACTTTCAGTTAAACTACGCTTTTTGCCAGAAATTTTTTTTCTCCCACCATCATCTTTGTCAAGCTCCATTGGAGTAGCCTCTAGTAGCATTTCTCCACTTACATCAGCCTGGGCTTCTGGTACTGAAAGCAGTTTTTCAGGGGCAGGAAAGTGAGCTTCTGCAGAATTACTATAGTTTTCCACCTGTACATCCTCTGCATTTATAATATCCACCTGACCATCAGGTTTGCTAAATGCTGCATTATCGTCTACGCATGTGGCAAGATTTTGTACTTGGTTTTCATTTGGAATTTGTATGGAATCATCAGTTCCATGCAGTGCTTCACCTGATAAAGTGAAGGCCAATTAATACCAAACCGAGGACTTTTACAAAATGATATTCATCTTATAAAAATTTTGTTATCAGCAACAGGTCCAACTTTGGTGAGTGTTTACCTTCAAGTCCCTAATACCTACAGAAGCATATTTTCTTCCATGCTTTCCATCCATATTTAGTTCCTTAAAGCTATTCATTTCAATTTGTATATCAAATTTATCCTTCTACAAAATAAACATTTTCAAGTTCTTCAGAATTTAATAGTTCTCCTAATCTCAGTCTCAGACAACTATGACATCAATCTAGAACACCAAAAATCATTTTTACAATGTTCAAATGTTATTTACTTTCTGTCTTTGATAATGTATTATTGTTCACATTTGCAAAATAGCTTAAATTGTCGCTTGTTACCACCGATTGATTTAATAAATTAATAAACATAATAGAACTAAATAAGGATAAATTTTAGTGCATGTAATTTAGCCCTTGTTTGGCCCTCTTTCTTTAAAACTCATTTTTCCTCAAACTCATTCTCAACCACACATTTTGTGGACCCACAATTTTTCAATCACGAGTAAGGATAGAGACGGATGGGGGGGGGAATTATACTGGGTTGATACATTAAAAAAACCCATTAGAAAAAAAGGAATTTTCATTAAAAAAAATCCCTTTACAAAATTATTTGGGCTTGTGGGCATGTCTGGGCCTGCCCCTTCCCTCCCTCCCCCCGCCCCTGATCACACGTCTCATCATTTTTTATCAAAATCAACTAAAAATCTCATTTTTAGAAAAACCAATCATGGTCTCAATAATAAAGGCAGAAGGTGGAATTTACACTTCATTTAAGACTTCAAAACTAGTTATAGACCACCTCTCCAAAGTAGGACTTCGGGTACAGAAAGAATTTTACAAGACTTGAATCTTTAGGAAACAATTTAGGCCTTCCTTAGATTCTTCACGATATGCTATATTAGCAAGTGTTGAGCTTGAGAAACAAACCTGGAGTTATAGGCATCTCCCCTCCAGAAATTTCTATGGAACCAGAGACAGACATATCAGGATGTGCGTGGGAATCCATTGGCATGTCATGTCCAGAATTGGGTAAATTAGTTTGTTCCATGTTGGAATTACATGGCCTCAGAAAATGAGGTTCAGTAGACAGAAACTCTTCGTGAAGATCATGGTTCATTCTGTCGAAATCATTAGTTTCCTTACAAGCCAGAGCTTCAGGTTTCTCAGGGCAAGGTTCACCTTGGTCTTTAGCACCTGATTCTGATGCATCAGAAGGATGTTTCTCCAGATCACTTTCAATTCCCACTCTGTCAGAAATCTCAATCCCAAGTGATGCTTGATCTTTTCCTGATACATCTTCAGGAACTTGCTGGCAGGTACTAGTCGAACCAGAAATATCACAAGCACTTTCCTCCAAGCCAATTTCACTGGGTCCTAGACGATCATCGCATTGTTCACTGACTGACATAACCTTATTATTATCATTATTGGCAACTTCATTCTGTGAATCTTCCCTACCGAGAACATAAGATGCCTCTGTCATCTTATCAGTCAGTCCCGAGGTGGCTTCTTTGGCTTTCACTTGATTAAATATATTGGAAGATGGTCCGGCTGTCGATGGAGGCTCGTCCAGCGAAACATGATCAACAGTAGCTTCAACGGAAAGAGATCCTCCATGTGATTCTTCGATTTCCAGGACACCTGAATGGTATCCATTCTTGTGAGGCACAACCAGAGGAACTGCGTCAGAATTTATATCATCACAGCAATCCATGTATTGTTTATCCTCATTAGTATTATTTTCTGTATTCTCTTTTACAACAGATTCCATTAAGTGATCTGATTCCAGATGGTCATCACATGCTAAAGCCCCTTGGACATTGGATAAATTTGGTTCTTCCACCAAGCCAGGAGTACATGGAGCCTGAGTGTAGTCCATGAGATCCACAGCTTCACCAATACCATCAATCTGCACATAAAGAAAATCACCTTCACTAGATAGAATGTTGAATTTCCAAATGTGATTAAACTTCTTTTTATTTTTTCGGTTGGGTGGGGTGGGGGGAGATTCCCATTTGTGGCATTCGTACTAAAATAACAGAAAACCAAATGCATCTTAGAACATAAAACGAGTCATTAAATGAAATGAAGATCCAAATTTCTTTTAACAGAAATTTAAAGCACTAGCTACCCTGGTTTCTGAATTGGCAGCTCTGTCTTCAGGGTGTTCATCTCGCTGGAGAGGGGTCATTAGTTGGGCAGAGACCTGAGTATCAGCACTGAAATAAGAGAAAATTCAAGTGAGATGTCAATATAGTTTAGATAATTACTTTGAAAGATAGACAGCACCTGTCACCAAGACATATAAAGTGATCACTTAAAAATGAGAACAAATACTAAAATAAATCTGAATAAAAGTAGATATTGACAATGCTCCCAAAACCATTGCAATATATTAAAGGCAAGACAGAGATAGCACCCTAAATTGGAAAACAAAGTAAGTCACTAGTGCATTGTATCTTTTGACCTTAAAATAGGAGGAATATATTGAACAAAGTAGACATTGCAGATAATATAGATCGAATACATAATGACATGATGGGAAACTATATATGGGAATGTGAAAGCTCAAAAAGAATATATCACAAGTAAACCGACTGATCACCCTGCTAAATATGGGTGTATCCCATCTCAAATAAGCCCACCACGCAGATTGAAATGCACGTAAATTTTCTTTTCAGTGTTTCTGTCATTTCCAACAGCAGATAACTAGTAGCTTTTCCAGCCGTGTCAAAAAGACAATTTAATGGACGTATCTTATCAAACACCATTGTTGTTCCTAAAGAAACTGGAAACTTTGAGAGCATTATAACGATTTTCTGTAAACCAAAAGCAGTGTTGCACGGACACTTCAACTAGGATGGCGTGTCCATATTCGACGTGTGTCGAATACCGACATTCTACCATGGTCATTTTTCTTTCTTTGATTATCGGACATGTGTCGAATACCAACATTAATTGGACAGTCTACCATGGACATTTTTTTCTTTATCAAAAATATTTTATAACTCAAATAACAAATAAGTACTTATATTTAAAAGAATTCAAAAGGAAAAATTAATAACTATAAAACTAAATTTACATTATATAAATGAAAATTTTTAAGAAATTTAGTCAATACTTTTAAAAAAAACCACATGTCAGTATGTTCAACACATATCATGTTGGACATACGTATCCATATTAGAGCATCATAGACCAAAGCAATCATGGCTTATTGCATGAAAGGCTGTTCCTGTTTTCAATTCTACTCTGGGAGTTCAGAGTTCCCGAAGGATTTATGATGGCATGCATCCACTATTTTTAGGAACTTACAGCAACAAATGACATCTCAATAGAAATACTGCAGCAGTTAAAGCTGAAAATAAATAAAAATGGAAATTCCAAAAATAAAATAGATGGAATGGAATCATATAGTAATGCCATGCACCAACCTGTCATTGGTATGCCCTGAAGTGCCAATTTTGTCCAAAAATAATTCCTGTAAATTGAGCGATGAAAAAGGGAACTAGTAAGAAAAATATTATTATATTAATTACGGTATATAAATAAAAGTAAATTCTTTTATTCAGCTGACTAAGTTTAACATCATACTAATATAGCAAAATTTGGTCCAAACTACTGTGAAAATATTTGTAATGTCAAATGCAATAACATTGACCTACATGTTTCAAAAACAAATAATATCATATCACACGAAACAGCATAATGATGGATTTTAGCATATCAAAAATGCAGAACATGTACCTAATCCAATAAGTTAACTCTTAGATTTTATTGTATCAAAATCACAGGAAGTAGACATAGTTTAAGAATTAGCCCCTGTTTGGTGGCCATTCTTTTTTCGGAAAAACATTATTTTGAGTAGTGAATATTTGGAGAATGTGTTGTTAAAAAGTAGGGAAAAGTTTTGGGTTTACGTATAGAATATTTTATCGTGTGAATGTATTGTTGAAAATGAGTATATAGAAAAAGAGTTTTAAAAAATGGGAGACAAACAGAGGCTTAAATCTTACTCTACATGAAAAAGGTGCAATGAATGGTAAGATAACCTAAAATAATGTCGCCCATCCTCTATTATCGAAATTCATTGAGTTGATATGCATGAAGTTCCATGATGACACCTTAAACAAAAGAAATATTTATCACTAACTTCAAAAAAAAAAAAAAAACATAAAAAAAGAAAAAAAAACCCATCCTCTATTATCGAAATTCATTGAGTTGATATGCATGAAGTTCCATGATGACACCTTAAACAAAAGAAATATTTATCACTAACTTCAAAAAAAAAAAAAAAACTTATAATCAGAGAAGTATTAGAATGTGAAACGCCCAATTGGGTTACACTTTTGGACAAACCAAAATGAAAAAATAAAATAAAATAAAATTTAGTTAAAAGCCAGAGAAGATAATTCTCATCAACAGAGTAATAACTCAATGTTCATACCGACAATCGAATACAAATGATAAGAAAATGCAGTATACAACTTCCAAACTGACCATCAGACAATACTACAACAAAATCAACATTATAACAATAGCTTACAATAGTGTAAATCAAACCACAATAGCGTCATCAATTAGCATGACATACCTCATCAAGATCTAATCCAGAAGCATCACCATCACCAAACCTCTCTGAGTACAAACAGTGCAACAGTTAGGAACATATTATAGGTCAGATATTTCCCATTTATGGTTGCTGTTGTCGGATTTCCTCTATTTTTCTTGGTGGGGTTGGGGGTGGGAGTGGAGGGGTGTTCATAGAAAATTTCATAAATTAGAAGTTCACACAAAAAATGTGAGAAAAAACACTAACCATCCAATCCAAACTTTGATGTGGAATAACCCGCAGCTTCCATGGTGTCTTGAAGAGTAATTTGCTCCCTTGAACTGATATGATGATCCACATAGTTACTGGACATTGCAGTCAAAATGCCAATGTTAGGTGGGATGGATTAAAACACTGATGATTGATAAGTGATTTATTACATAATCTCTTTCAAGCATCCTACTAAAAACTCACAACCATCAGGGGCTATATACCCAATTACCTGCTTCACCCAGAGAGAAATCATTCTCTTCTTAGGTTTGCTGGTCATGGTAAATAAACCATTAAATCTCATATTTTGAAAGTCAATAAACTGAGGTTTGTGCTCGGGTGTCTACAAATTTGGCAAAATTGGTACACTCCAAATCCAATATGTAACCACTCAATGCATAAATTTCACAGACAAACATACATACATTTCTTTAGAAACATTAAACTTTGGCAGCCATTTTTTTGTGGTGTACTGATAAAAACCTGAAGCACATTTATATAAATAGCAAAGCTTTCTCAGGAAATGCAAATTAGATATTTATTGAGCCAACCTCTGTAAAATGTCATTATCTGGCAGCTCAAAATCATCAAGATCAAATGTCTCGGGCAATGTGATGGAGTGATATGGCGCCTTTGACTCTTCAGGAAGTAAATCAACAGCAGCAGAGCGAAATGCTTGCTTGACCTTAAGCAAAGCCTCACTGCAATCATCGAAGAGGTAGTTCACCTTTCTAGAATATATCCTCACCACACCAAGCAAAAGATGGCTAGACAACCGAAGAGCAATTGGAACATCGGGAAAAAGAATTGAGTCTGTAGAATATAAGCAGGTTAAGTTAAAAGAGCAAAAGACCACTCTTTTCGTAGGAAAATTTTAAATACACGGAACACAGGTAAGAAGTAACATGTGAATATTAATTCCACCATGTTGAAATGTTGATACCAGATAATAAACTGAAAGGCTTGAAGATAGTGTAAAACCCAGCACATGAAATACTTAGTTTTATTGTACATATTCCAAAAGGCACCTCCTTTTTCTCCTTTCAGTCAATACTTGTGATACCATAATGCTTGGTTAATACATAAAGTTAGGCTTGTTCTACAGTGCAAACATTAACCCTGGATCCTAATAATCACACTTTGAATGTGTTAATCCACTGTCTTCATTGCAAATTAACTTGAAACAGAACTCTGAAAACAGTGTCTGAAAACATTGGAATTTAGAGCTAGACACAAGCAAATGCACACAAACTTTTACCCCACAAAGAGGTCCCTTGATGAACGTCTAGCCTCTTAGGGACATCAAATTATTACAATCGCGTGATGGTTGGATAGTTAAATTTCAAGTTCACCTCTGATAATTCAATTCTCATCCTTTTTCAGGGTAAGTTATGTACTTATGGGTTGGATGCATGAAGCTTAATCATACGAGTACAACCATCTGGATATCGGAAATCTTTCAAAAATAAGATTATCTAATATCCAAGTACGCATAGGCAACTAGTTGAATGACATTCAGGTGCTTTGGATGCGCATTAGCGCATATGTAAATTCCACCAAGCCTTCCCAACTAGTACTTTTTTGTGATAGACTCTATTGCTTAACAGGCTGATTTATTCACCCTTAGTTCAACTCCTAGATGAGTACACCATGGTCTAAAAGAGCGCCAGTCGCACCTACTGTGCATTAAGGTGGTACTTTCAGTACTTTATCAATGAGGCAGGCACCTCATAAACTGAGGAGCACGCCTCAGTACGCACACCTCAAGGCTCCTTGAGGTGTGCGCCTCAGTTTTATTGTGACCTTCAAGTTGTTTTTTCCTTTTCTCTTCCTATGTTTTTCCTTCTTTTTAAGTTTAAGCGTGTCTTTCATATAGAAAAGTGGTTTTTTATATGGGCCCATCTTGTTCCCAAATAAACCAACAAAATATTGGGCAAATCTTGTTCTCAAATAAAACAACAAAAAATTGGGCCCATCAATTCTTTTTATTATGGGACTAAACAATTAAAAGAACCACTATACTACACCATGCCTCTCTACTTCCAAGAAAGAAGTTAGTCTTCTTTTACAAGACTGCAAGGCAGCACCGGAAATTATTTCAGGCAGGTAAATGCTTTTATCTATATTTGTTTCTTTTATTTCTAAATATCATCTCCTCTCTCTGATTTTTTTTTTTTTTTTTTTTTTTTTTTTTTTT